AAGTATCTAGAATAAAAGCTATTTTTAATAATTTCTAAATAATTTTTTAAGAAGAAGATATTAGCTTTAATATACTATAATATTTATTATTATCTATATAATAAATTTTATTTTAATAAAATTAGCTAAAAATTATTTTAGTTTTAATCCTTTATAGATTTAAAAGAAAGCTATATTAAATTAATTAGTTTTTTTTTTAATTTTAGTATTATCTAATCTAACTAAAGGCTAATATTGGTATGACTAGTTTTAGAACTTTATTTATAGTATTAAGACTGTGGTTAATATATATCATGCTTCACTCTTTTATAAATTCTAAATCCAGTTTTAAAAAGTTCTAAATCTTAGTTATATTATAAGCTAGATAGAGTATATTTTTTACTTCATTAATTCTAATCTAATAATTTAGTTAGCTGCAATTCTATCTTTTAATAGAATATAATAGATCTATTAGATATTTATTTATGATTAATTGATTATTATCAATTCTATAGCTATTTTAAAAAATATTTATTAGTATATATTCTTTATTTATTATCTTTTTATCTATCTTTTTATTTAATATAGGGACTTTATTATAATTAATTAGAGCATTATTATTAAATCTTTATTAATTAAATTACTAAAGCCTTTATTTCTTTTAATAGAGATATTCTATTTAGTCTAAAGATTCTAATAAGAGATAATCCAATTTATTCATTATTATATTTTATAACTTTATAAAGAGATTAAGAAATAATGATTATTAATAAAGACATTTAAGAGTGATCAATTTCCTTTTAATTATCTAAAATGATTCTAAATTAAATTTAAATATAGTCTCTTAGAACTGATAATAATCTATATAGCTAACTTATCATATCTTAATTCTTTTCTTAAAATAATCATTCTTAATTAGTGATATTTAATTATTATATATTCTAATCTTTTATTTCTATTATCAGGCTTATTAAAAGAGAGAGTTTCTTCTTATAATACCATTATAATACATCTTCTCTAAAATTAGAATCTTTAATCAATAGGCTATTTTTAATGCTAAATGATTAAAAACTTATATCAAAAGATTATAAAATAAATCCTAACCATCCTAATAAATATAATTAACATAACTTTTAGTATTTCTTCTATTACTAAGCTATCATAATAGTAACTATAATTAATGCTTAACTTAACCTTTAAATATTCTAAAGATTATTAAACTAGATCATTTATCACTAATAAGCTTTAACTATAACTGATCTTATTGATTCAAGAAAGATCCATTATCCAAAGCATCATATAATAAATTATTATTAAAATAAATATATGCTTAAGCAGCTTATTTATAATCTTAATAATCAATAAATTTTATTGATAATTATCTTTTATATTAATTATAATTAGTTATTACATAGTATATATCCTATTTAATAGAATAGAATCTATTTTTTCTATATTCTATTATCTCTTTCTTCTATTTCCCTAAAATCTATAATATCTCAATCTAGCAAGAAAAAGACTCATATCAATCCTTATCATTTTCAAATCTAGATTTTTATCGCATTTTAAACCTTAACTTTAAATTTATTTAATATTATCTTTATACTCTCTATCTCTTTCTTTTTAATCTTATCTATCTGATTTTAGAAACAACCTAGTTCCTTTTTAATTAAGTAAAAAAGATAATTTTTCTTTTTTAATCTATCTCATTCTTTTATTAAAAATATATTAATTATTACTATTTCTATTAACTTTAATTGCCACTTTTTTTTCTCTTTCTTAAAATGACTATAGCTAATTACTTTATATCAATTAAAGACTATAAGTTATATTAATAATAGAATCAGCTTATAGTTTTTATTAAATATCTATAAGCTATACACCCTATCAACAGATACTATTTCTTAATCTATTCTTACTAATCATTTATAATCCTTTAGTCTTTTTAAAACTTTATTTTAATTACTATTAAAGAACTGATTTATCATATTCTATATCTAGATTATTACTATAGTCTCACTCTTTTTATTAAATAGCACAGATAAGATACTAATTACAAACTGCTTATCAGTTTAATATTATATAGTATTATATAATAGCTTATATATATTTAATATCCTAATTACTCTAATCAATATAATCTTTAAATTAGATTTAATAAATAGAAACTCTTAATCTTTTAATAATCATTCTATCAGTTAATCTAATAATCTTTTTAATTAACCACTGTCTTCTATCTTTAAAAGTGAGTTATATCATATAGATATTATAAATTAATTAATTAAAGATATTTTTAAAGATAATCTATTAAGTGATTTTAATAATAATATAAAAGATTAGGCTGTCATTTTGGTTCGGTTCAGACCGAACCAAAACCGATCTGAAACCCGAATGGTCCAGTTCTGGTCCTATATACAGTGAACTGATGTGGTTCAGTTCACCAAGTCCAGGACTATATGGTTTTTTGAGGCCTATTTGGATCTAATTCAATTTAGATTTTTAATTCAGTTTTATCTAAATATTTAAATATTAGTGGATTTCCATTAATAATATTAAAATATTTAGAATTAATTCTAATCCTTTATAATTATTATTGATTATATAATCATTTCTAAAGCAGCTTTTCATAAATTAAATTCTTATTTTTTGAATTAGGATTTTGTTTTAGATATTTTTATAAATATTATAATAAATTCTTAATATTTAGATTATAATCTAAGAATTATTCAAATAGCGATAATATCTTTTCTATTTTTTATTTATATTTTTTGAATTATATTATATAGAAGAAAATATATATATATATTTCTGTATTTATTCTATAATATTCATTATTATCTATCTATTTTTTTAGTATATTTCAATAATTAGATAGAAAATTATAATTTAAATAATTAATTCTAATTTTTATATTATTTATCTATCTAATTCATTAAAATTTAGAGAGATTTTAATATATTTTTAAAGATAAAATCTAACTATAATTAAAAATTCTTTAATATAGTTTAGTTATCTAAATAAAAATCAGATCAGACTTAGACTAATCTAACTATAATTAGTAATTCTTCTTTAACATGATTCAGTTTCAATTTAGAGAGCCAGAATCATTCAGTTTTCAGTTCTGGTTCCAATATTAGGGACTAAACCGAACCGACCCACTTTTGGGTTTGGTTCAGAAACTCAGGACCAGAACCGAACCAAATGACAGCCTAATCCTGTATTTGAAGTGTATTTTGCTAGTTTTAGCAGCTAAGCTAACTCTCTTTAATTAACTGAAAGATTGGAAGACTTTATCTATTATTGGTCTTATTCTAAGGGCTTATATATAGTATTATTATTATATTATTAGTATGGCTAATAATATTTATTAAATCTTTTCTATTAAAGGCTATATTGAGGCCCTTATAGAAAATTGGCTGAATTAATTGAGCTTAGAAAGACTAGATAGAAGTAAATGGGCAATAGCTGTAAGTAATAAATTTTTGAAAGATATTATTGTATTTGGTTAGATTAATTATATATCATCTAGTGGCTGAATTAATCTTTGTGGTGTCCTATCAGGTGGAGAATCCCATTAGCGTTAATAGATACGCAATGTCATACACAAATAAATCACAAAGCTTTGATCCCTTGAAGAAATAGATAATGAATAAATAATGCCGTGATCTAAGCCTTATGTGGAATAAGTGATAATTATAGCGTCGCTAACTGCACGTACTGAGCTTGCCGCGCCCATTGCTTTGTTCGTTTTAACGCAACTGTAGCTGCGCGTTGGTTGCTCCGATTAATATATAGGTATCGTCGGTTGGGGACATGTGGATCTGAGGGGGATCGGCAATATTAATTACAGTGGCACTGAAGTAGTTTTAATCACTTTTAGCACATTAGTGGATGGCCTAAAGCAGCGTAATCCCGATGTCAATGAGTGAAGAGTATTGCGGTCGATTTTGTTCAAATTGGTTTGTATAAGGGCATGAAAGGCTGCATGAATGACATTTGGGACAGTTTTCCGAACCACAACTAGCCATTGGTAACTACCTGTCCTTGAATTGAAGACACAGCTGTTGCACTAAAGACTTGCATAATTCCGCACCATACCGGTTAACTGCATACAGGGGTGTGTTGCCCTCGCGACACGCTTAACTGCCAAAATCGGAGCAGAAGAACAATCAGATGTCAGTGGGCTCACGCTTACAACTATAAAAGCGGTAGAAGTTAAGGCGGAAGTAACTAGGTAGATTTGGTGGGAGGAACAAGGAATTTTTACAACACTCAATACACACACACATCCAATATTCAAAAAGTACCTCCCCAATTACGTGACATCAGAACAGAAACGAAAGAATACACTGGGCTAATGCCTACACGCCTATTGCGTTTTACAGTGACGCCTTTTGTGACAATATCCACACCGTATTTCTGACCATATCATGGGTTGTGAACTGCCTCTGAATGTATCAGCATTTCATTTAATCGCAAATCCTGCTCCATCACTCTGCTCTTAAGCTTAAACAATCATAAAAGGCATTCAATGATCTTCTTGCCCTATTTCCCCAGCATAGAAACGCGGTACGAGCAAATCAACTATTTTAGCTAAGGCTGCCAAGTGGCTAGAGCAATTTGTATCTAAAAATAAAGCTAAGCACGCTCTATTCAAGAGGTAAGCCTGTCAAGTTAATAGAATCAGGCAGAAACAATCGATTCATCATAGGCGTAGAAGTAAGTGTTGGAGGACGTTCCCTTGAATCCCTCATGTCTTACATAACGATAGCTCTTCGCTCTTAGCGTGTGCATAAGAAACATCCACCCGCTGGAAAGAGTTCCGGGCAAGTAGGAGCAGCCTTCGTGTATGGTCATCGAAAGTAAAGACTTGAGTCGCATAATGAGTTGTCACATTTGATACCTGTGTGATATCTGGCTACCTGTAGGTAGTAATCTGCCACTTCGACGCCCTGTAGCTGCATATCTACCCCGGCAGCTAAATTCATCGCATCGGACTGGGCCAATGATTCAGCTGATTTTTACTCGATCCCCAGTTTCTCACAAAGCACCATTCCTTCTCTGACAGCCTCTACGAACGAGATGATGAACGTGTTCCTAAGAAGCTTGAATATTGAGGCTTTACCAACATCAGTATTTCCAAGGTCGATGTCCGCGCGGCTAATGACACCAACTGTATATGCCTTCACTCTTTGGACATCTTCGACGGCTCCCGCGAAGATGATCACAAGCTGCCCAGAGTCCGCCGTTGACGGAGGACCAAAGACAGGATAGGCAACATAGGTAGCCCTATAAGACCGAAATTTTTCGTTGATCCAGCCAGCGGTATCCGGATGGATCGTGGAGCAATCGACGAAGAGCTTTTCCGTTACGTCGCCGCTCCCGACAGCGGCCTCAACCATTTCCTTGACAGCTGTGTCGTCTGCAAGGCAACTAAAGATCATATCTGAGGGCTGCACGGCTTTGTGGATCGAATTTGCCATTTTGACGTGGCCAACTGTTTTCGAAACTGCGGTAGCTCTAGTGGACTGGTCTCGCAAGCCAGTGTCATGTTATTATTAACTCAAGAGTTGTCTTTCAGGGTCAGGTATGCCGCAGGAGTGAAGACTATTGATTGTTTCTTAAAGGCTAAAACGACTATGACCTTTACACTCATACCCTAAATCAAATGTTCTGCTTTTCCCTTTGCCTGTTATTTTGCATGGCTGGTGAGGCAACGCAGTATGAAACCCAGTGGGGCGGGTTTCTGCTTTCCCCTCATGCTGCAACAAGAGATAAGCCAATTATTTGGTCATTGTAAAAATAGGCTCCACATTACTTACAGACTGAGGCTCGAAGATAATCCTAAGCACGCCTCGGGCTTCTTCGGAACATAAGCCCTTTCGATGGATTTCAGTCCTCGTGGGTTCGAGCACTTCTGACTTCACTACAACTCGACCGCAGTAGGTGGGGGTTAATAAATGTTGATTATGTCTATCTGGTCCCGTCCCCCGCTTGGTGTTGTGCTTTTTATGCTTGTATTCAAGTGCCCAATTGGGCATCGAGTCAGCTTCGAGTCGGCCTCCAATCTATCAAAATACACCAAGAGGACGACGGCATCTTCCACCTTCAGGAAAATTCGTGGAGAGCAACCCATTACGGCCAACTCAGCTGTTTGCGAAAATGAGCCAGCACAATGCAGGTCATACAGACTTTGTCGCCTTAAAAGGTAAGGAGCACTCAATTAAACGTACGTCAAGGTATAATAACCAAGGCCTCTTAACGCCAAGGTCAGATGTGATGGCGCTACACCCCGCTACGGTTATTGTATCTTACGGCATCAACATTGTATTTATACACGTGATAGCCGATACATGTCGGAATTTTAACCACTAGACCAAAAAATGTCAACGCCAAATTTTTCTAGGATTAGTTCCATATGTTCTGACAATACAGGAATGATGAGGCAGCGGGTTGTTGACCTTGGCGTGGGGGACAACTAGCCGTTTAAAAAGCAACCCTGCGGAGAGAGTATCGGCGTGCAAAACCAGTAGTATTCCTAACAAACCTTGTGATATTTCGCCCCAAAAAGGGTATATATCCGAAACCCTGAACAATGTTTTGATATCAAATTCTTCTGGCGAACCCGTGTATCTGAGAAACTGTGCCTGAATTGGCGTAATTCCGAGATCTTGACCATCCTAGAAGTCACTTGTGTCTTTAACCCACGTAGTATTAATAAGCCAATTTCAAAAATAATAACTAACTATATATAATATTAGTCGGTTCTTCTTATGTGTGATTTTCATTATTAGAGAGCGTGACATCCAAGCAATCTACACATTGCTTACATTGACAGTATGGTTTCTCAAGGCACATTTGTTGACGTCATTGGCCTCAACTATCGTTGTGGGACCATAGAAGGGTGTATAGGAGCTGACTCTGTATTCGAATATGAAGAGCAATCCAAAATCATTTTCTCCATTGGGCCCCTAATCATAGGGGAGGCCCGCAGCAAGCCTCTAATCACTGTTGCAGAACTCGGCCCCCCCGACACCTCCATATTTGATGCGAGACGGATCAACCGTGCCAGATTACTGTACAGTCTGACTTCAGGGCAAGGATTCGAAAGGCCAATTCACGTCGATAACCATGTAGGCAGTCTGAGCTCTGGTTGGCACTACTCTTGTCTAATGGCTAATCCATCCGTTGTGCAGGTCAGGAGCATCGTCACAAAACATGCTGCACTAATTGATCTAGATTCCCCCAATACTTCTGATCTTGATAAAGCGATCACCGAGATTTGTACTGAGCTGGGATACTTCCCGAAGTCAGTGTCTCATACGAGGAACCATCTTAGGCGGGAAGCGGCTGGCTTCAAGGTGATGCGCGACATGCGGATTCCTGTCGAGGATGGTAACTATGTTCTGGCAGATGTCTACTTGCCGCTAGAGCTCCGGGAGAAATACCCGGTTTTGGTCAGCTGCACCTTGTATGGGAAAAGGGTTCTCTTTGGGGGACCAGATCTTGAAAATCAGGATGAAATATACGCCTTTGAAAAGGCAGAAGACGATTGGCACTCAACTTCTCCAGGGGTTCCTATCCAAGTCCCTCATGGTGACTCTTGGTTAGGCGCTTGGACCACTCAACGGGGATTCGAGAATATTGCGACCTTCAACACATACTCGTACGTCCCCCATGGCTTCGCCATGGTCAAAGTCGATCCTCGTGGGGTGTCACAAACTCCAGGGGTCCGAGGGGTTCCGGGGGAAATTACAGGGGATCTTTATAATGCAGTTGAATGGGCTGCAGAACAGAGTTGGAGCAACGGTGACGTTGCCCTTGTTGGCAGCTCTCAGGGCGCGAATGTCCAATGGGCCGTAGCTAGTTTAAAACCTAAGGGACTAAGGTGCTTTGTCCCTTATGCAAGTATGGCATTCTCCCACCCAAAAAAAGTGCACAATGCTAATTTGGCTCTATATGTGCAGCGGACCTTGACATGTATCGGGAAGGTTCTTTTATCGGCGGGATTCCGTCCTACCGATTTGTAGCCAACTGGGTTGAGCGCATTCGGAAGCCCTCGTATAAGTGGACTGATCACATGGACATCTTGGACATTATGAAGTCAAATCCATTCGACAACGGACTCTGGAGGGCAGCATCTGCACAACTAGACTCGATCGATCTTCCATGCCTTTTGGCGGCCCCTCAGCTTCTACTCCTCCATAGTCGTGGCCCATTTGAGGCTTGGAGGGCCCGCAATCCAGATAATACTCACCTACAGGTCGTGGACCGGGATTATTACTCTTGGGCCAGTCGCGAAGCTGCAGGAAAGGTTTTGCAATTCCTCAACCGTTACTTAAAGGGCGCTGAGAATCCGAAGCCCGAGAGGGTTGGTATCCAAATGCGCCTCGGATATGGGTCGTGGTATTGGCGTAAAGAAAACAACTGGCCAGTTCCAGGTACTCAATATACAAAGTGGTATTTGGGAAGTGATGGCTTCCTGCTGAAGTCTGCACCAAAACAGGCCGAGAGACAGTTCTCTTATTCCACACGAACTACGGAGAACCAGAAGTCCGGAGTGAGCTTTTACTCCGTTGCGTTCAAAGAAGATGTCGAGTTTGCTGGACATTTTACTGCTGTTTTGCATATGTCGTCCTCTACCGAAGATGCTGATGTTGTAGTAACCCTATGGGCAGTCGATGAAAACGGTGCGGTGGTTCCTCACTCTTCAGATGGGCAACCGGAACCAATCGCAAAAGGCTTTCTACGCGTTAGTCATCGGATAACCGATCCGGCTAAGACCCTCCCAGAGAGACCGTGGCACTCACATACGAAGGAAGACAACTTGCTGTTGAAGCCTGGTGAAGTAGTCAGGATCGAAGTGGAAATTTTCCCAGCAGCCGCAAGGGTCCGCAGAGGGTGGAAGTTACGCCTAGACGTCACGCCTACAGAAGAACAACCCGATATTGCTGGGTATAAGCCTCTTGACATGCGAGTCTGGTACAGCGAAACCCATCCTGAAGGACAAAATTATATCCATGTAGGAGAACAGTACGACAACTACATTGCATGTCCAGTTGTGCCAGTCACGGAAGGCTATCCCAACCATGTCTTGTGATAGTTAGGTTATCACTGGTCTAGACAATTAGAAACCTTAGCAGGAATTGAAGCTAATATTAAATAAGAATTTTAAATAATAATAGCTCCCTCACTATATCTTTGTATTTTTACAAATCTTATCTAGCCAGAAAAGTAGAGAGACAATGCCATGAAAAGGAAGTGGAAGGGTGTAGCGTCACAGCCGCCTACGCCCCACCGAAAACTTACCTCAGCATGCTTGTCGGACTTTTTACGCGTTAGAACAAATTGAGTTTAGTGTCAAATTCGTTTGGGTTGAGATACTGTCAGATTTAGTGGGGCGATGTTACCCGGTAAAAACCGCCAAAAATTATTCGAATAAATTGAGATAATTGCAACTTTCTTAATTGCTTGTCTTGGACAAACTTGCTCCTAAATTACTAGGGGAATTGTCCTCAGTTTTGAAGAATTCAAGCCCCTCCCTATAGACGTGTTTATGCCTAATTGGCCTTATTCTCGCCCAGTCGAAGTCGACTCGGCGGCCAATCGGAGCCTTGTAAAATTACCCATATTAATCTGACAGATACAAGCCTGAGTTGCAAAGAACTCATCTATCTAGACGTATTTATATGCGAATTTACACTAATATTTGTCATCAGGGGTAAGGTATTGAAAATTGCGCATTGTTGATTTTTGGCATGGTGTTTTGGCGTTGTTGATCGTAATTTTGGGTAATTTGAATCTATTCCCAATGTGCTTAGTGCCAATTATTCCGATAATGCTCAGACATCACGTGACGCGGAAACTAAACTAAGCCTAGTTCGAATGTCGCATACGCGACGTCTGAGACTAGGAATATTTGTTAGTATTTTCATGCCTTCCCGGCGAATAGGGGCCAACGCCAATGTCCTTACACCAATATATCCCAACACCACAAAGTGAAATTGTTTTGAAGATTTAATCAATTGTAGGATAGGAGGAGAGGGTTATATTAAGTCTAATTTTATTTTGTCAGTCCCCATCGATCACAAGATCTTATGGTTTAAAGGACATATTGGAGATCCGTTATTCCCATTCCTACACCTATACTATACTAAACAAATGACGCTTTACTAATCAAATATGTTGGTAAATCCTAGTAATACAATCCTTATACGGTCATGGTTTCCAAAAAGCGAAGTAAACGGGGTAAACACGTTCGATATCCCAAGCCTCTGACTGATACGCAGTCCAAGCAGGTATCAATTACTACTGAGGCTACCAGGATATTGCGCAGAAAGGCAAATCGGAGTATCCAATGATATCCGAACAGAGGTCATTAATTGTTGAAGCTGTACAACTGTTTTATCCCTTCAATCCACGCAAGGAACAGGTTGATTGTATCCATCAGTTGGTATACGAGAAAAACGACCTTGTGCTGGTCGCGAAGACATCATTTGGAAAAAGCCTAATACCAAGTATCCTTCCTAGTACTGTTCCTCAGTCAATTATTATTGTGATTCTCCCGCTTCTTGCACTGGGTGAAGAGCAGACTGCGTCAATTCAAAGCCATTTATCTTTGGGAGGGTTGGCGAATCCTATATTTGTTAATTCAACCAATATTTGCAAACAACAATTAAGAGAGATTAAGCCCGGCATTTATACTCACATCTTTATATCCCCGGAGATACTCACTGGTAAAGATTCCGCTATGTCCTTACATCACCTACCTTTCGGGATATGGTTCGATGGATCGCAATTGATGAGGTTCGCCTCATTTATATTTGGGGGAAACAATTCCGGAAAGCTTATACCCGTCTAACGGCTATTCAGGCCAAATTGGGGCCTAAGATTCGGCTTGGTTGTACTGCAACGCTGGACAATAACACCTGGGAGAAGGTTCAATATTATGCTGGATTCCAAGCGGACACATACTTACTCCGGTCTCCAATCAATCAACCTGAGATTGCCATTATTCGAAGTATACTAGTGGCATCAGAAACTCTTCCAGAGTCTGCATTTTCTTGTTGCCAACGCATCAACACTTCGAGACGGGACTAGGTTGTCGTCTGCACCTGATTTTCATGAGATAGTTGCTAATTACAGCGGACTTGATACTGACAAGGCTCCAAGCAGTGGCCATATGCCATCTTCTAGTGAGCGTACACCAAGAGTCCCAGCACCACTCGTACGGACCAATGCCTTTACAACTGAGAATTACAGTCAATTGAGAGAGACTCCGTATAGTTCTCAGTCACGGTGTGGGAATAATTGCTTGCTAAAATATGGCTTGCCACTTCCAGCCAGTGATGACATTATTCCCACGCCGAAGTCATCCCCAAGACGCTGATATTCGCAGCTTACCGGAACGGGTGTTGTGACATAGTTAAAAAGATCCAGAATTGGCTACAGCCGCTGAATTATAGTGAATCACTTGCAGCTAAGACCGTGGGATGTTATTATTCAACAATGATCGATATTGATAAGGCACGGGTGCTTGCTAAGTTTGAGCCTGAATCTGATACACGGATCTTGGTATCATCTGAATATTTGTCTCATGGCAAGGACGTTCCGGATATTGATATAGTTGTTATTTATGGAACCCCTCTAGACAAGGAACCCAGTCTTTTCCTTCAGAAATTTGGTCGAGCAGCACGAGGACCTGACCACAAGGGAATCGCTGTTGTTCTAGGGGATGCGTGGTGTTTAGAGGGTCAGTCTGGGGGCCACCAGTCTATAAATACCAAAAGTAAATTAAGTCAGCTGCTGTCCCATGTCCCTATCACATCGGATCCGCTTGATACCTCATCGCCGGTGTCTCTTAGTGATTCGATTCCAACTGACATATTAATACCAAGCTCACCTCCAGTACGCACGGAGTCTTTGGTTCGGAAACAGGCTAAACGACGACGTAAAACCAATGCTGAGGAACGGAAAGAGTTGCCCGATGTGCTTCTAGAGTTTGTGAACAGCGGTGGATGCCTTCGGCAACCATGGTTGACGATAACGAGAATTTGGAGAGCAAGGCATGGTGTTGTTCTAATTGCAATCCTAATCTCGATATAACAAAGCTTCGATTGGATTTGGATGATCTCAATGCCGCTGAGACTGGATCTTGGACGGCATGATCCATTGTTTGAAGAGGCATTAAGTGGTTGTGGACATGATCAGAAGCGAATCTTGACGAATACTCATTTGTTCCTTATCCAGAACTCATCCTTTCCAAAAGCGTATATCTGATCTATCTCATGATCAATTTCCGAATGACGGTCAATCGCTTTATCACTACCTGCAAAGTACACCTCGTGTCCACTATATTCCTTCCATTGTGGACGACTTGATGCGCTTCATTCAGGAAGAAAAGTCAAAGTCTGTAAGACATAACGCAGCTAGGATATTAGAGATAAGCACCACAGAGAAGCCTCTAAGCCGTACAATTCCTGTTGCAGTTAACACACCACGTGTACGAGCTTATTCACCATTAACGCCTTGTCAAGGGTCTGTTAGAGTGCTTAGTGACTTATCATTCCCACTACTGAACACATCAGTAGCGACATCACTAACTGGAACACCTGTTCGAAGAAGACGGCAAAGCAAGGGATTTACAACCCCCAATAAACGCAGAGCATTGAGTGAGCGTGATGTAAATAAGACAGTTGTATTCACCCCTGTGACAAAGAGTGGACTTGTTAGGACACCATCACTTCGAGGGCTTGATAACTTCTATATTGAGAACCAGCAGTTGAAGTCAGTTGATTTATTGTTGTGTATGGTCAAATCGTTTTGTTATATCGTTTATTATCTTCTCGAGAAACTCCCAGGAACTTCTTAATCAATTAAACGATAGTAACTAGGTACTGAAATCCTGAAAATCCTCTGCCGTCTTTATAATGTTAGATTGGAAAAATGCGTATCGACAACCAACAGATACTAACCAGGTTCTCAGTTGTTTGAATATCAATATTAGCGTCACAAACAATATCTTCAACATCATGGTAATCATCCAAGTCCAATGAGCTATTCCTAGTGAGGTTGACAGCAGCATCGAAGTTCTGAATGACTGTCACGTCACATAACCGTTTAAATCCATCGACCATAAGCTCAGGCGCATAAAATTTGACATCTCGAAAGTTCTGTTTATTGACACTTTCACGAGAGAGTAGTTCAGCTAGGGAATGAATATCATTTTGTGGTGATTTGACTGCAAGTTCTGAATTAGTCCATTCTCCAAAGTTAAGCTCAAACATGCCTCGGAGAGGCAGGTGATACTTTATAAGGGAAAGACCCCATTTGAACAGATGATAAACATCATGTGTTGAATTTCCACGACTTCGCATGGTTTCCTTTAACTGAAGGTTGAGCAGCTCATCTAGACGATCAGCTTCAAAGAAGTTATCTGGTTTCCCACGTAGATTAACTAAACCACAACCTAATATAGCCCGCTGCAACACTGGATCAGCTGCGTTGGTGGCTGTAAGGCGGTAGAGATGAAGCATCTCACGGGCATAATTTCTAGTCGAGGTGGTTCCATGAGTATGTTTGTGTTGTCTATTGTAAGATTATTTCATTGAATCTTCTCTTCAACCTCCGTCTTCCATTTGTGTACTGGCTCTGGGAATAGTAAATTATAATACTGTTAGATGAAATGGGCCAATTTTGGAAGGCTCCGATTGGACGTCGAGTCGAAGCCGACTCGACGAATATTTGACCAATTATATGAAAACACTTGTAAAAGGAGGGGTTTGAAATCTTCAAAACCGAGGACATCCCCCCTAGTAAATTGGGGGCAAGTTTGTCAATTACACAGAACTATCTGAATTCTCAATTTTTTGCAATTCGTTCCAAGAATTTTCAATCAAGTAATGCAGGGTAAAATTACCACGCTAAATCCAACAAATACAACGCTAGTTATGAATATTTTACAGGGAAGGGAACACTAAATCCCGGGTTTATACTATTCGGGGGCTAGTCGCCCGTTGGAGTAGATCTTGCCAAGGCAGAGCGAACTGTGGGCCTGAACGCTACAGGCCGCGGACCAATCCCATCCCCCGCGGGCGGCCCAGGAGGATGCCACATTATGTTGAGCCCGATTACGAAGTACTTTGCTCTCCCTCCGAGCCATATATTATACTCTTGCATGTATTAGATCGTCGTCTTTGCATATGTGTCTCGGATTTCAGCTCCCCCCATATAGAACTTCTGCAAAGATATCAAGCAAACCTCTGCGATATATATGAGCAAATTACTTTCGATCCTTGGCCTCCGTGCGGCGGGCTCCTTCCAATCGCTGGATTTGACGACTACTACTACGATGATTCCGAATTATGGTCCAGCATACCTAATGTTCAACTTCATCTTTGCTTACGGCATCCTCTCATCGCGCACATTGAAACGATACTATAAGATTGACCACAATGTCTCCCCACGGGAAGACCTGACAAAGTATGGCGAAGCAGCCGTGCGGGATGGCAAACTCACACGACGCCAATTGGAGATGCTGAAACGGAACGAAGCGGCACATGCCAATGCGGTTGAGAATTACACCTTTCTAGTCGCAGCAATTGTGCTCGCTACAGGAACTGGCGTTGATCATGTGTTGATTAATTTGATGAGTTTGGTGTATACACTGGCGAGAGTTGCATACGGAATCTTTTACTTGCTCATTGATGATCCTGTATGGAGTCACCTCCGAGGGATTAGTTGGTGGGTTGGCAATATGACTTGCTTTTCACTCTTGTACCGGAGTTTAGTTGCTTTGAACTCGTGATTCGTGTCGCAATCCATCAAGAATATTTTTTGTGTTTGATTGAGTTCCTGTCTGGTAAGGGTGATGGTCTCGGCTTGGGGATCGGACCTCTGTCCTAGCTTTACTTCGCCTACATATCACTCTTACATCAAACAAGCAGAGTGTCAGCAAAGCAGATAGCATGCCCCAAGGTTATTACTGTTCCTTTATTTGTAAATTCGGGTAATTAGCAGGGATGCTGTGACGACTTGGTGTTTTGCCGCTGGATGCTCCAGCTGCCTGAATTTTAGTTTTTTTTGCTCATGCTTATTTTTCTCATTCGTAGATACCAATAAGATACTACAGGTTCGGAAGCGAGCTATTTGAACAGCTTTAGAAAGGAATTGATCGTATCTTCGTCTCGTCTTTCCTTCTCATTCATGATAACTTGCCATGGTAAAAGTTTCATTAAACAAGCATATGAAGAAGAAACACGGACATTACTAAGTAAAATTGACCATTAAATCCACAAGTCTGCATGGTGCATAGAAATAAGCCGCCCAACTCGCCTCAAATTCAAATCCAGAAGCCCGTAGAAAGGCCATGTACACCTCCGAGTTCCAAAAAACCTCAAATCCTTACTTCCAGACGCCTCAAAGCGAACGACAGATAATTGACGCATTATATCAATTTCTCGGACAACACCAGTTCCAAGAGAGGGGCAAAAAACTTTAGGCCGCTCGCAGGTCAATAACGCGCGTCAAGCCGATCTTATAAAGCGTCAATCTAGTCAACTAGATGGCTTCAGGATTCAAAAATCTAAAAAGCAGGTCAAAAAGAATCCAAATAATGTATTTCTCTCGATTGCAAGTATAAAAGCTGCTATGGAGAAGGCTGAAGAAGAAGAACAAAATATTGAGCCAAAACAGGCTGCAGAGGAAGTAGAGGCGCTTGAAATGAGTAAAATGATGTTTCAATTTTCTCAATATAGTAGGGGTAGTTAGAAATTCATATTTTTTCGATTTTTGACGCTTTTCGGGTGGGTGTCCGGACTACGGAGTATGCTTTGCAGGAAAAGATCTTATAAATATTATTATAAAGATTCTAATTTGCCACTATGTATTTAGCCTATCATGTTAGATTCTTGTAGCGAATTTACAGTTGGCGAGGAATTGGCATCTAATAGAGAGAACTAGGTGGTGGATTGATTGAGGAGATAAAAACAGGAGATAGATAGGCAGCAGTATAAGCAGGGAAGGAATCGAATAAGGATTTGCCTCATTCGTATTCTAAAATATCTTGACAATGTCTTATTCGAATTCGAAATTATTTACATTTATAAGACGAGTATCCACACGATGCTGGAGCTGTTAGAGACTATTCAGCAATTCCTGTCCAGCACCTTTGACAGCAGCAGAAAAAGTCTTTTAACATAATCTTGCAGTTCTTGGTAGTGGGCATGCGACAAGGTTTTCGAATATCGAATAATTTTCGAATTAAGGAATTTGATTTTTTTAGTAAGCGAAATTTTTCAAATTTAGTTATTCGTATTCGAATATTCGATATTCGATTCCACCCCTAATAAGCATTAGTACACATATCGATTCGCACGCTTTTCCGTGGCATACAAATGTTAGTGGATACCAAGACGGTTGACCCCAAATTTGAGTTCGCGGGGGCTTAGCTTGTTGTAAACGTTCGGATATATGCCATTTCTAGATGAGTGGTGGGTCGTCATCGGAAGCAGTCTTTCCTGATCCCAGCCATAGGACTGTTCATTCCAAACTTCTTGGTTTTGGTGTTACATCACATCAGGTCTTGGATGCTTCGGCTTGTCGATCTAAGGTTCAAAAGGAAGGTGAGGAGCATTTTGCACTAAACGTTTTAGGGATAGGCTCGAAATTCCCAAAGTTATGATCAACAGCGCCACAACGCCACACCATATCTCAATTTTCAATACCTTAACCCTATGACAAGTATTAGAAGGGTTTCTTTGGACTGCTTAGATTCGTACAGCTGTTTGCAGTTTATAACTCAGCAACGCTATCCCTTGTTTTCTCCGTCATGTAGGAGCCTAAGCAGAGGGGTATCTGGAAGCTGGACCAGAGTCGACGTGTTCGTACTTGCTTCATCGGGAAGGACCTGCAGCGGCACCTTCTGGAAGGGAAATCCGTTGACTGCTTTAGGAAAAGTCTAACCAATGACCATGGTGCTGTTCATCGAATCCTAGAACAAACTCTGTATAGGCTACGTAACATTGATGTTAGGTCCTAATGTTAGCTCGCATGGATGGATTAACATTTTTGGATCAAACTACTCAGAAAAGAAAAGAAACATAAAAGGAGGCAACGTACGTCGACTCATGTCTATGCTGGACTGTCAGAGTAGGAAACTTGAGTTATGGCACGCGAAAGCAACATTCTGAGATAGACGAATATGATGACTTTCTCCTCGCAGAAAAAGGTTCTGCGAATCTCTGTTTGCGGAACAGAGACTAATAAATTTAGATTCTTCCTTATATGATCAAGTGGAGCTTTCGAATTAGAGTTTAATTAATGATATCTCAAAAGCTTATCTGCTTATATTTCTGCATTCTTCTATGATCAAAGCCCTTCCGATTCGCTTTTACATTACCACGGCTTCATGCTGATCTAGATCGACATATTCAAAAATCTTTCCGAGAAGACAATGCATGCGATCGGGAATGACGAATCAAGAATCAATCTTGCGGCAATGATCCTCACAGAGGATAGAAATTGGAGGCACACCAGAAATTGATAAATGGCTAATTGCCACTTTGTAACTATTTAAATGCTAATATTAAGCACAATCTCATTCTATATACCGGAATCAGCAACTCCTCACTTGGTTCTTCTCATTTATAACTCTGTTCACAGCTGATATTATCAGGACTGTCTGATCTCAACATCGAAATGGCAGGAGAGGCCAACAAAGGTCTTTCGGCAGATATTCATACATTTCTACCTGCAGTATGCTATGCCCATAGCTTCTTTATCGCATCGACGTAAATCCTAACAATGAAAGCTCCACAATTATACTACAGGCTATTCTTTTCCTCCAACGGATATTGATATCCCGTCATATTCATTCACAGATCAGTTTCATAACCAGTTGTCTGACATCGATATTAATGATGATGGAGGTGACTATATCGAATCAAAGTCTACTCCAGGCGATATCACGCGAAAAATTCCTGATAGTACTAGTAACAAGGATGCTATTAGTACTAAACGCAAGGAACAAAATCGGGCTGCGTATGTCACGACTGCATTAATTTATCTATAGCTGACACCTATATAGCCAGCGTGCCTTCCGTGAGCGACACAGAAATAGGCTAAATGAGCTTGAAGACATGGTGCAAGATTTGAAACGCAATATTCGTGCTTACAATCAATACATCTGTCATCTGAGAGCCCGCATCGCACATCTGGAGGGCGAGAATTCGTTTCTCTATATCACTTCCAAGGTACGGCCGTCAAATACGGTTTGAGGCTTCGATACACCAATTGGAGCTGCCGAATTTACCAGATCTTTGTGCAATTGACCCCGTTGTCAAATGAGCGCGGTTGGAGTCACGTCACGTTGCAAGCTTTTGTCAAATATTCACTACTGTTATATTATAATGGATACAGCTGTTTGTAGTCAACGTAGCTCTTACGTCATGAAACGGTGTTGATTCTCTGATTACTTCACTAACAAAATTTACCACCCAATCCCAAAAGGTTCCTAGTACGAATCTCGACTAAACTCAATTTGTTCTAACACTTAAAAAGTCCGACAAAAAACTGTCGAACCCTATATTGCCCCCAAATATTTTTAAACTTAAAAGCTTTATAATACATTATTAATAAAGTCTCAAAAAAATTCCACTCGTTCTAGGCCACCATGGGTATCCATCTGAAAGTTTAAAAACTCTTTATATTTTCCAGACTATTTGTAACAGGGATAGACCCAGGGAGCATGTTCAAGCCTAATCCGGCAGGACCGGGGGGCTCAGGGATATCCCAGGGGTCAATTGTGATATATCACAATTGATACCATAAGACCCCGGGCATGATGCCAGTACCCCTCACCTCGCAATATATGCCTTTATCTAATTAGATTAGGTATTAATGACCTAAGGTAGAGACTCAGGCATATAGGCTTGGTTTCCCACCTGGAGGGAGGAAACCAAGCAATATCTTTTGGATAATTTTTGACATTACTTTCAATATAAGCCTACTCGGCTTCGAATAGCCTTCGGTTCGAAGCCTTCCATAACTATACAATCAAAACCGATAACTTCCTCCCTAGTAACCTTGCTCTACAGCATCAATATCAAGCGGTGAGGCTTCAACTCACCCACATCTAGTCTATCCAGACACCCCCGGACACGGTCGTGCCAGGCCGTGTTACACTATTAACCATCTAGTAACTTGCCCGCTACCAACAATAAATAATCTTGAAATTTGTTTTTGATCACAGAATGGATCTTTTACAAACTACTCTAGATAAAATGGATCTCTAAAAACCGTGACAGCATCGTACTGAAAAACAATATGAATTATTAGTCACCACATCCTGGATAGAATATACTCTCAGGAATTGCTTACTTATCGGTAGAGCATAGCAAATAACCTTCTGTAAACTCTACATCTGACTCGTTGCAATGCGCTCATGATATGCTGCACAGTTTAAATATAGAAGAGCTATGCTCGCTATAATCTAATCTGATAATCAAGGATTTGAATATATTTAGACTATACAGAATGCCGAAGCTGCAGAGTACCATAGCATCGGTCTTGATGCTATCATCATGGGTTAGGGGTCTTTTCCCCTTCGGCCGCTCAGAAAAATATAAGCATGTCTTACCCATTGCCTATGTCTAGACGAAATTCTCCTCACCAGGGGTGAGAGTGCAATTCAAAATAGCAGCAGCACGTGCAGATACACTTGTCACGTACGCGGGAGCATATTTGTTCATCCACTGTAGAACCGTCTGACTTCCAGGAGCGTTTCGCCAATCTCTCCAAAGATCGGCCACAATACTAAATATGCCTACAAGCTGAACACCTGCAGCCTGCATGCGAAGGTTGGAGACATCTCGAATCAATGGTGACATGGTCCCAGATGCTTCAACATTTTCCCAGCCCTCTTCCCTCAGAGAAAGTGCCAGGAAAATAGAGAATACACATACAAACATCGGTCATAATTCCCGCCATAATAACTTGTCTCTTGCCAGTGGCTTGAAGAGCCTTTCTGAAATCCGGATTGTCCCAGGCATTGATTTCTCTCTGACGTTCGATTAAAGGCGCATCAGGGTACATCTCGAGAATCTTTTTTTGGCAAGATCCATTAGGGCCTGAATATCATGGGTACACTTGTTGTCAGCGAAGGTGAGGCTAGTATGAGTAATAATGGTAAGTTCCCTAACCTGTTTGAGCAGAGGTGGTCATAATAATTAGGATGTCGAAGCAATATTGAATACGCCTATCAAGAGCAAGATGCAGGAAGGCATGATACTCATATTCAAAAAACATTTTCAGAGGTGATGCTGTTGCTTTAGATTGTGAAAGTGATGACCACAAATGGGGAACATTTCCTACTTTATAGATCTCTTAAGGGTAGCAGACAGAGACTTGATAAGTATGGTACATGCAACTAAACTCATGTTTGTCATTATTAAGTGATCTATGATTTGTCAGAGAATCGTCACTTCACCAGCATTAAAAATCCAAATCTTCTGAGTTTTCATATAGCCTTGGTAGTTACTAAGTGTCTTAGGAATTTTTAATTCTTTCACGAGCGCCATTTATGGCACAATGTCACCTCATCGACTTGGAAAATATATGAGAGGCATTTTTGAAGTCCTAGATTGAATTCTGATAAGTACTAAAAACCGAGCTACCAACATCCAGAATGTCCAAGCCGATTGTGCTTATCCTTGGAGCAGGTGCCAATGTAGGCACAGCCGTGGCCCACAGATTTAGCGGAGATGGGTATCAGGTCGCGATTTCTGCTCGTCGCATCGCGAACGGCATGTAACCCGAGGGGTATATCATGATTCAAGCAGACTTGTCAGAGAAAACGGCAGTCCCTCGAGTCTTTGAGAAAGTGAAATCTGCGGTCGGAATCCCCAGTGTTGTTATCTACAATGGTAAGGTTCTGGGATCCTGATGCTGAAGTGGCGCTAATTATTTCTGTCCTTATGCGGCAACTTTCACACCTTCACTCCCTGATGCTCCACTTTCTTTTCCCCAGAAGCTCTGGATCGCGATATCTGGGTTAATACTCACAGCGCAATCATTGCCGCTGACTACGCAGTAAAGGGATTTGAGCAGCTCCCGGAGAGTGCGAAGAAAACATTCATCTATACTGGAAACTGGCTGAATACAACTATTTCAGCCTCCAGTGCTTTGCTCACTTTAGGAGTGGGCAAAGCAGCAAGTGCATACTGGATTGGATCGGCAAACCAAACTTACTCTCAAAAGGGGTACAGGTAAAATACACCGAACTTTGCTCGTCATTGGCCAGGAACAAAGCTAACCATCACGCCTGAGGGAACATCAATGCGAACAGGTGTTGATGGTATGGCTCACGCCGAGTTCTTTAAGCAGCTTGCCAACAGACAGGACCCTTCTGTTCCGTGGCTTGCTACTTTTGTCAAGGGAAAAGGGTATATTAATTTTGCCAAGTAATTATCCGCCTTAATATTCGGCGTCATAGTACAATGAACTCAACTCGATGACGAGAGAAATTATATTCATGCTCTAAACCAGCAGGGTAATCAGCATAGAAGATGAAAACTACTACCTGGCTCATCGTCATCCAACAGTCATGACATCACGAATATACACATTAGGATAGCGCAGTGAATTAAAAGTAAGACGTCGTATATAGAGTTTGAACCTTGTTATTACAGTTACAGTTGCTTTAGCATTAGAGCAATCAAGCTAACTAGATTCAGTCATAAAATAGACCAATGGGGTTTGTCATGTGTAAGGGAAGTTTAAGTTTATTCTTTTGACTATTTAAATGCTTTGGTACCGTGTTGAATGGTAAATGGAGAAGGCTTCCTTGAAAATGTGAAGCGATATTAATTCACAAAACCAGGCTTTTATTTATTCATGTGCAGCGCATATTATATTTAAAATGTGATATATCGTCGAGTCGTGCACATCCAAAACGAAGAAGGAGTCTTCCAGTTTTGGCTCCGATTCGTCTCCAAAGAGAGTCTTCTTGCACCTAGATTCTTGATCACATCTTCCTAAAGAAATTTGCGCAGAGGCATTGGTCTCTACAAGCCAAAAAAAACTCATAGAGTCCCTCCTTTGGGAGATAAGATACTCCTACCAGTGCTGCCCATCGCAGGGGTCACGATGGCTGCGTCTCGGATTTTGAATAATGGTGAACTTGGAGACTTAAACCAAAGGTTTTGGTCGTCATCTCGTTTCTCTCGTGTTGACCAGCCCGTTGTACCCTCCTTAAATACCACAACATACATGCAGAATTCGAGAAGATTGAAATTTGTCGGATAGCCACATTCAGCTGTCTTGAAGGCCCAGTTGAGTATAAGATCATGGTTTATCTCGATAGTAATTGTACCGTCCCGATCCGCATGGGCTGGGGTGCACGTGTAGATATACTGACGGTCCAGGAGTTGACTGTTTTCATGATCCACTGGTCCCCAGATGGCACAACAATGATAGAGAGTACCTGGCTTCAATACAGGTTTACCATCTCGAGTGGCTCGGACTTCAAGCTTGACGCGTGATCCTCGAATATATGTCACGCTTGGGTATCCGTGCACCGCAATTTTAAGTCGGTCTGTTCCTGACGACATTGTGAGTGTGCCGAACTCACGTTGCAGATAGAGTTTTTACAACTATGAGAACTTTGTGGCGGGGAGAAGTGACTACGATAAAAAGCGGCGCCTTGGGCATCAAATCGTCCAGCTTTTTCCAAGGGTAGTGCCTCCACACGAATATGGGGGTGACTCTGCGGCATTCATGCAGGAAACTTATTTCGCGTTTACTTATCAGTATTTGCGATCGGCGCCGCGTCCCAGTAGACAAGCCGAGGCCTCCTGGGTATGTCTTGTGTAACGAGATATTCCTGAAAGTCTAAAATAACGAAATAAGGAAGGCCCTACGCAGTACGCAGTCCAGCTCAACTTTGCCACAACAAGGACAGAAGTAATTGGAAGAGCCGCCCGAGCACTTTTCATTTGTTCACAATAGTTCAATGATACGGTGAGCGAGGCTAGTGTTGAATCCAACTTCAATGGGCAGTTCACCTACGATGAAATGACTCTAAACAAAATAAGTTGAGAGCCAGGCGTCTTCAAACCAGCCTCAAAATAATCACCAAATAATCCCAAACGAGCAACAAATCTACAGACCAAAAAGTCAACAGAAGTCAGCTTCCACGGTATACAAGGCACTCCGTGTCGGGGTTCAAAGATCCGATATCCAGAAAGCGTCCATTGCTCAAAAATGTCGGAAAATTTGTATTAAAGAAGAAAAGGGCAACCAGACTTGAGTGCGACGGTAATTCGAGGTAATATTTCGCTATCTCTGGAATCAAATCCATGACAAACACGAAACTCTCCGACAACACTACTTAGAGTTACATAGATACTGCCGGATCTACACAATGCCCACCCCAGATGGAAGGCCAAATACCTGGCTATTCAATTCATTCCCACACAAAGCTAATGCCGGTGATTTATTTGTGCTTTCTGTCAAATAATGTTGTGAGGCTACATGGATGAGGTTTCCACTCAAATAGTAATTCCTAGGGTGAACTTTGGCCTTGTGAATCTGAGCAGTGGGTGTTAGCGACAGAACCATCAGGCTTTCCTGTAAGACAATGAGATATCGTTTCCAAGCTTCGTATGATAGACCGCCATCGATACGTAAGCATTTCCACCACTATCGGATCATTCTAATTTCCTCCAATATTCTGTAAAAGTTTCTCCCGAAAGTGAATCAGTTCTTTGCCCAATGCATCCTCGGCTGATGTGATACCATTGTTCCCCATGGAACTTCACCTTAGGGACAGCGTGCAACCACTCTAGTCCCCAAGTTCATGCCCTGTTGATGGTCAACAAAAACTTTCCCAATACTCTGCGATGCGGTTTTGACCCCCTCAAATGGTGATTGTACGAGACGGCTGGTGATCGTTCCTTGCAGTTGGATGGGGTCTTGGAGGAGCATCAAAGTTCCAGTCTGATGACAGGGAGTCCCAAATCCGCTCGTACCTTTATGTGGAATTCTCGTGCAGCGATCCTGCAAATAGAAGCTCACTTGTGATATACAGGGTATTTGAAAATGGAAACTCTGAACAATCAAACGGGCTTTTGGCAAGTGGCAACCAGAAAATCAAGTAGTGGATGCGCAGCTTTTCGTCGGACAGCTTCCCTTACGTTAGTATTCAGAACCTCCACCTCCTCCTGCGCCCAACCAAGAATATCCTTGAACGGTACCGCTATGAAAGCCTCAAACTCCTTCCACAAAATTTATTCCCATAAATATTCCAATCTTTTTTAGCCTCGAATCTTTTGGCCAGCTTCCGATGGGCAACTTAAAGACCTGCTGGGTAATATTCACATATCCAGCAGCTTCAACCCAACCTTTCAATGACGGCGCAGGGTCCATCTATCATCTTCAGATTACATCGTATTCATTGACTCTTGAAATTCCAGCCAACCCCCTGGTTTGAGATTTTCGTAACACTGCCTGACGAGAGGGGGCCTATCATTAATGGAGTCACACATATATCGGCAGTGAATGTAATCGTAGGGTTCGACATCAGCCCATTGTCGCTCGACATCATCGACGGTGAACTTTACGTTCGGAGGCGCCTATTCTGGCTGGATTGGACTGAGATCATATCCCAAAATGAGACCGGCGTTAGGGTACCAATCACCGAGGTCAATGGACCAAATTCCTGTACCAGTACCGATATCTAGTACACGAAGACCGTCATCAGGGTTGATCGGTGCTAAGAAAAGGCGGTCATTTAGGAGTCGGTAGAATATGTGGTGGACCATGTCCAGCCGATCCTACTCTTTTTCATCATTTGGAAAATTATACGTGCCAGCGTGATAAGAATGGTATCGGCGACCGTGTTTCCATTCATGTTCGAGAATGCTGGGGTTGACCGATGTGCTGGATGTCGACACATCGTCGTCGCCAAGAGATGAGTCCACATCCCCGGTGTCAATCTCCACCATCTGCAATCCTGTGGTGTCCGTCATACTGGCAAATGAACTTGTTTACTATGGACACTACGGCAGATTATTGTACTAGACGAGATTGGAGAGTGAAATTTCTTAGCAGGCCAGGCGATGTGACGATTCAAGGGAATGGATTTCTCGGCTTGCCAGTATTGCAGTCCTGAACGGAGAGCGGTATGCATAAACCTGATTGCTGTCGTTTTGGGTATACCATTGGCCTGTCCCTGAACCTAAACGATCAGGTGATGAGAAAATGACCAACTGGCTGTCACTCAAAACTTTTATCTAGACTCAGTCCTCGCTGTGGCCACCCACGCTACTGCCTTTTGGCATAGCTGATCGTTGTTTCTTGTTACAGGATAGGTTAAATCTTGGCAGCTCACGGAAGGATCTACTCGGTTGTGACGTCCACGGCCACCGACCTGCAGACGTAACAGGAGGAGATTATCGCCCAATTAGTATCGATATCGTGAGAAACAAATTTAATAGAGCTCCACAAAACGAGGGGGTGAATCTATGGCTTGCATTAAACTCTAGCTAAGCGTTTGTAAACATCTGATCGGTTCAATTGCAACTTATTAGTCCATGATTTTGTGACAATTCTGCATTTGGAAATAATAGTTCCTACCTCAACTTCGTCGCCTGACCTCTATGAAGCCGCCTTGTCTGTTATCTCGCGGCTCTAGTCACGGATGGCATGTGACCGTTGTCGGCACTGTAAAGTCGGAGATGCTGTAACCGGCGCCAGAGAATAGTAATATAGTTGACTCGATTTTCTGTTTTAAAGAAAATTGCTAATCTGCAATCACGTTCTACTGTGGCAAAGCATCGCAACACTTTTTCGTTGAACCCGACAAAGTTAAAATTGGAGTATGAATGGTCCTATTAGCTGCATGAATTTTCTATTGTTATGTATATCACTGCATGACTTGTACGGAGGTGGACACAAAAAGTAATGTAAAGACGCTAAATTCGCTAACATAATAGCCCTAGCGCCTTAGTATTTTAACTTATATTATAATTACTTACTAAGGTCCTAATGTCTAATTATATAACCATATTTCGACACTTGTTTAGAGCTGGTGGTGCGAGGAATTGAAGGGGGTTAATATTCTTAATAAAATAAATAAATACGGAGCACAGGTAATAGGATGTTTTAATAAAACGTACTAATCAGACTAAAATTGTTACCTCTCCCCACCTATACACTACTTTTTGGGCCCACCTCCGTGCTCTTCACTCATTGGCGTCGGGATTATACTAGTTTGGGCTAGATTAGCAACTATCTAGTTGTTAGATGAAATGGGCCAATTTTGGAAGGCTCCGATTGGACGCCGAGTCGGCTTCGACTCGACGAATATTTGACCAATTATATGAAAACACTTGTAAAAGGAGGGGTTTGAAATCTTCAAAACCGAGGACATCCCCTCTAGTAAATTGGGTGCAAGTTTGTCAATTACACAGAACTATCTGAATTCTCAATTTTTTGCAATTCGTTCCAAGAATTTTCAATCAAGTAACGCAGGGTAAAATTCCCACGCTAGATCCAACAGCAGAAATTGAACACTCGGAATTATACCATATATCTGTTACGAAATAAGCCTGCATCAGGTTAAACTACTAGATAACAAGTCACCTCTAAACTATTAGTCAAGCCTCGGCTGTATATTGATAGCTGATTAATGCGTTATTCATTGATCGACAACTCTATGGGTATGATTAAACTATATCTGCTACAATTGGCCCAATTATCGAGAACCCGACAGGTCCATCCACATCATTCGCAACGTCGCCAGTATCGGTTGACGACAATTCTAGTGTGCAAGTTTCGAATCTCCGTGTATCGCGTTTCAGAGTATTGAGCTGAATAGTATAATTCCGAAAAGTTTGAATACCTACTTTGTTAATTTTACTGTATATAATAGCTGTTCCCGTGCTCAATATGGCCTCATTTAATCACCTCGTCTCTTTATCGTTACTTTACATTTCCTTCTTGGCATCACAATCCTGTGTTATCTACAACATCCTTTCCAATCATATACTGAAGTTCTGAAATTCACAAAAAAACCGATTCATTATGGCCCTTCAATTGGCTTGGATTGGACTCGGTAATATGGGCCAGGCATGTACAGCATAATTAGGATATGATTAAAACGAGATTAAGCAAAAGAATTAGGCTAATGGAATTTGTCAGGGTATGTGTAAGAACTTGATCAAGAATGGAGCTCTTACCTCGCCACTTATTGTCTATAACCGGACGAATGCACGTGCTACCGCCTTTTCTGAAAAATTCGAGCACGTTAAGGCCGTTAGCTCAGTAGCGGAAGCCATTCAGCCAGCTGATATTATTTTTAGCTGCCTTGGGGATGATGCTGCTGTTGAAGAATTTACCAAAACTGCTCTCCAGAGCAACGACGTGAAAGGTAAACTCTTCGTCGATTGCTCTACCATTCATCCAGACACCACTCGCAGGGTTAGCGAGATACTCGAGTTACACGGCGCCTCCTTTGTTGCTTGCCCTGTGTTTGGTACCCCAGTAATGGCAGATGCTGGACAGCTTGTCACTATTCTATCAGGCTCAAAAGAAAACATCGATAGGATGAAAAAGTATACAATTGGTGTTATTAGCCGCGCAAATATCGACCTGGGTGACGCTAATGTTGGAGGAGCGTCTATGTTCAAGCTTTTAGGAAACTCATTCATCCTTTCCTTTGTGGAAACTATAGGAGAAGGTATGGTATTATGCGAGAAACTAGGCTTAGACCAGGATCAATTGAAGCATTGGATAAATTTGATGTTTCCAGGCCCGCTCTCAATGTTTGCAGAACGCATGAAATCGGGCGACTATTACCAACGAGAATATCCTCTTATGGCCGTCGATCTGGCTCGTAAAGATGCGCAGCATATTATCAATCTAGCTAATAGCGTCGCTGTTCCAGTGAAGAGTGTTGAAATAGCAGATTATTATCTAGGGAGAGTGAGAGAATACATGGGACCCAACGGTGATATGGCAAGCATCTATGGGGCGGTTCGCCAGGCATCTGGTCTAAAATTCGAGAACCAGTAGGCCTCCGCATGGTACGTAACGAAAAATTATATCACAGGTTCACTCTTTAATATGAATTATCAAATCATTGCAATTTTAACTGTCGTTAAAAATACTTTCTTTTTAAGGATTCAACAGATCAAAAATTTAGTCTAAGATAACAAATACTATATGGATTAGTGATCGAGTTCCTAATAGGCGAACTTGATTGAAAGCTTTAAATATTGCTATACTTTTTGAAATATAAATTAAGCCGACCTGGGGAAGTTTCTCATCCCAATTCCGTTCTACTTCTACATATCATGTGTAGTTCGTACGTGTGATAGCTCAAGTAAAACATCTGGGCAAATAGAGTCTTCAAAATTCCAGGTCATAGACAAGAGCATCCTTAAATAACTCTTCTCTCAGCCTTTGGACTCTATACACGCAACCGTAATGTTAGCTTGATGAAAGGGTGCAAGCCTATAAAACAGGTGGATGATACGCACTCTAAATGTGAAGGATCAGTTATATATCCTTCAATATTATCTGCAGACAGCAAAACTGCCACCATGCCCATATCAAATCCTTCGCATCTAGAAACAGATAGCGGCAAGGGCTGATTTATCTCAACAGAAAGAAGGCATGCATGCGAATTAGAATTGCGCCAGGCATAACCACATGGAGAGACAAACCAGGGACTTTAGAAACCATGGACTTAGCTTTTTGTGACCACTCCTCAAGTTGGCTTCGGGACGCTTCGGGTTTGAGGCGTAGGAGAGCTTCCGCATGTGATTGTTAGAATTAACTACTTGCTAAAAAATTTACAAATTCAAGTGATGCTCTGAGGCACGAAATTGAACTGCAGGCAACTCTCATACGTACCAATGTGATATACCGTCATTCTGTTTGCTGATCAAAAGTGAACCTCTTGAGCAAGGAAAAGCAACGACGAAGTTAAGGAGGGATAGTTTGAAATATGGACATTTGTTCATTATTAACCTGTCTTTAAAGACACTAAACTTGAAGAGGTATATCTCCGAGATTTCGGTCTAATGATTTCTTGCGCCAGACCCACGACCTACCTGATGCTCATCATAATCATTCTTATGCGGAGAATTGTCCATTCTATTCCGTACAATGTGGCAGTCTATCTTTATACGAATATTTACACTGATTCCAACGCTTTCGCTATGGCAACGCCTTCACATGTCACTATTGATAATCTCAATGGCAAATGGACAATTGTGGGCATCTACTATCTAACTTAAGGCTCTATACCGCTACTGATAAAATTGTTGTTCCCAGGACAAGAAATTATCATCTAATTTAGATCCAGTTCTTGCCTTAGTATGATTTTTGCTGAGCACACTATTAATACCTTTCTATCCTTGAACGTCCAGAGACTAACTATAACACACAGCAAGGTGTTAGCTGGGTCCTTCGGAAAGCAATTAACGCATCGACTGCAATTCTCGATGTAAAGGAGCACCGTGAAACTGATGCTGCGGCCGGCCAAACGACTGTGCGAATTGATGTTGTGCAATATACTACAAGCGGGTTACCCGGTATAAATGAGTCACGAATTCTTGACTGGTCAAGCTCTTCCCAAGAAAATCATATACTAGGAAAGAGCGATGTTCGGGCACGCTTCATCCAGGGCAAACGTAACTCTGAGGGAAATATTTTGCCAGATTTAGACCTCCAAATACCGGTGGAACACGAAATGGTGAAAAAATTCTTAATTGGCGAAGTGCTTGAGGACGGCACGCCCTGTGAAGGATTCTTGGTGGAAAATCCACAGGAGGAAGGAATTTGGGTGCAGCTGTACGCTTGCAGCCACAAGGCTGGATGGACAGCAGAGCAGGTGCGTTAAGACAAGGAACGTATATAATTTGTACAGCCTGCCGTATTTGGACTGACCATTATTTGCAGGTATGGGGCTTTGAAATGATAAACCAAGAGCGTCGATACACCCGACGCTTAGTTGTTGCCAACCGAGACGGAAAATTCCAACTAGCCAGACTGGTGTACAACTTTATAAAATCTAATGGCGAATAACCATCAAGGAATTTCAGAAACAACTGAAGTAGCAGCGACATTATTCTTGGGGTCATTACGGGTGAGTGTCCGTGACCGTTCGGATAATGTCTGCCTGACGCAGCATGCACACGTTGCCCTCAAACGGTGTCGGAATATCGGCTTAGGTGCGGAATGAAAAACACAAACATATGGTGGATACTAGAAACCAACAAGTGTATACAAAAAAATTGGAGTAATTTTGCTCACTGGATCATGCAATCGAAATGAATGATCTTGTTTGTTTGATTGATTCCTCAAGCTTTTTTCGGCCGTAGGGATATGCAATTTATTACATGAAGTAGCCCACATCCAATCAAGCTTGTAGGGAATGTCAGCAATAGTAGGCGTGTCAGTCTACCCCACCAACTACCCGTTACTGTTCGAATTTATTCCTATAAACCAGTGTTGGGACCCTTATTTTCTGCTTTCAGGAATCACTTAGAGCCCTTCCTGATGATGCTTGACCTATACACCATCTGAGCTTGTGAATACGCAAGTTATATTCATATTGGATTTGAATGTTCTGAGATTGGTCAATCTGACTTAGTAGTTAACTACAACAGTATTTTGCGACAAATACAGGTAGACCACTGGTGATTTTGCTGATAAAATGTCCTGGTGGATTGCGACTTGGACCATGAGTTTAAAGTCACTAATATTGCCAATCCACCAACTAACCCCTCGGAGGTGACTCCACACAAGATCATCAATCACCAAGTAAAGGATTCCGCATGAGTATGCAAGTCTCGCCAGCGTATACACCATCAAACGCCAGTACCAGTAGCGAGCACAATAGCTGCAACCAGAAGGGTGTAATTCTCAACCGCGTTGGCATGTGCCGCTTCGTTCCTTCTCAGCAACTCCAATTGGGGTCGTGTGAGTTTGCCATCTCGCCTGGCAGCTTCACCATACTTTGTCAGGTCTTCCTGTGGGGAGACATTGTGGTCAATTTTATAGTAGCGTTTCAACGTGCGCGACGAGAGGATGCCGTAAGCAAAGAGGAAGTGGAACATCAGGTCTGGGCCATAGTTCGGAATTATCGTTGTAGATGTCAAGCCGGATGGTTCGAGAGCGCTCGCCGCGCGGAGGCCGAGGATTGAAAGTAACTTGTATATTTTTACGGAAGTTGTATATGGGAGGAGCTGGTATCTGGTGCAATATGTGCAAAGACAACAGTCTTACAGTAACACATTCCACAGTTTATCCCCAAGTGATATATCGTTTGGATGGATGAAGTCTCTTGGGCTGAGCGGACCCTCCTCCTCCAGATTCCATCTAATTTGCCAAGTTGGAGGTTGTCCTAAGCGTGGGGGTTGTACCGGAGCCTGGTGGGTGGGCGACTAGTCTACGAATAGTATAAACCCGAGATTTACTAACGTATTCCACGGGCATTTGGAACACACGGGTATTTGGAACACCCGTGTAATCCATATAAAATGGCGTTTTTTTAAATCTTAATCTCTCAACAAAATTATATATACATTATAGTTTAAAAATTACTATATTAAATAAAATGCATATATTAATAACATATTCAAAAATAAAAGAAAATAATTTAAAACTAACAAATAATACCCAAAATATAATGTAATTTTTGGTATTTTATATAATTTAATGTAATTTTGATATCTACTTAGTCATTTTAAAAATTATTTTAATCGTATATTTCTTTACTATTATATAAATAATATACTAAATTTTCAGCTATAATTTTCATATAATTTTGTTGAGATATTAAGATTTAAAAAAAGGCCATTTTATATGGATTACACGGGTGTTCCAAATACCCGTGTGTTCCAAATGCCCGTGGAATACGTTAGCTGAACGTAGATTAACTCAGCAAGTCGTTATTCGTTAACTAGAGGTGCAAAATTGTTCATGTGTGATGAGAGAAGTGTAAATAATAATAATGTTGATCGAACAGGGAGGACGATTTTACTAGATTACTGTTTCTTTACATACGTAACTCGTACGTGGAGTCCAAAATTTCACACTATTGAAGTCTGAGTCATGCTAGCTATAGATTCCTCTCTCAAATTTTGTCGGCCGAGAGTTGTTGATAATTACGGAAAACAAGTTATCTGTTCCGCATTGCGGGGGCCTGGACCGACCTAATAGACCACCCCTATATCCAGGTAGTCGGCGTGTTAGTGTAACACGGTTTTGACAGGACCGTGTCCGGGGGTGTCTGGATAGACTCGATGTGGGTGAGTTGAAGCTTCACCGATTGATATCGATGCTATAGAGCAATGCTACTAGGGAGGGAGTTATCGGTTTAGGTTATATAGTTAGGGAAGGCTTCGAGCCGAAGGCTATTCGAAGCCGAGTAGGCTTATATTGAAAGTTATATCAAAGATTATACAAAAGATATCGCTTGGTTCCCTCCCCTTTGGGTGGGAAACCAAGCTTATATGCCTGAGTCCCTTCCTCAGGTCATTCATACCTAATCTAACTAGATATAGGCATATATTGCGAGATGGGAAGTACTCGGATTATGTCCGGAGTCATATGGAGTCATTTATGCTGTGTCACCATTGACTCTGTAGATATCTCGGATCCCCCCGGTCTTGCCGGATTCGGCCTAAGCATGTTCCCTGAACATATCCACGTTACAGTTAGAGCCCCTAGAGAGCGGCGCCTAGAGACGCACCCGAGTGGTCAACTGCTATAATATTGTTATGAACCGAGACCAAGCGTGGCAGGAACCCCCCCCTCCCCTCACCGCCGAAGACAGGCTATGGAGGACGCCAACTGGCTAAGTATTATAAGGGGCCGATGCCTAATTCTAGGGGACTTCAACGCCCATGGCCCGAAATGGAACCCCCTAGTGGTCTCCCTTACAGACCATCTGCCCCTAGAGGCGCTTATCGAGGCCCACGATCTAGGGGTTGGCCATGGCTTAGAGAAGCCTACAAGGACCCGAGATGGGGATCACGAACACCCCTGGCGTTCACTACACCCCCCCCTAGGGCCCCTGGCAGGCTGGGAGATAGAGGAGGAGAGGCTAACTGGCTCAGACCACGTGTTTATAACGCTGGCCTGGGAACCCCCGGAGGACGCCCCAATGGACACCCCCGCGGAGGTGACAGGCTGGCGCATCTACGCCCTAGAGGCCGGCAAGGAAGCCCTAGAGATCGCCGCGGCAGAATGGCACGACATGCACGAGCATAGGGACCCTCTAGGGGACGACTGCACCGAGGAAGACCTCGCTATGGAGGCCGAGTGGGTGCAACAGGCCCTAACAGACCTTCTAGGGCGGCATGCCAAGCCAATTCGACTCTGCGCACGCTCTAAGCGGTGGTGGAATGACTCCCTGGACGACCCCCGGAGCAAGTACGCCCGGGTGCGCCGCCAGTGGCAAGCCGGAGAGTGCTCCAACGCCCAACACAGGGAGGCCCGACAGGCCTACTATGTGGCAATTAGGGCCGCGAAGCGCTACTGTTGGGAGGCCTTCCTTAGGGGTGATTCGGACGACGTTGATCCCGACCGCTGTTGGGCGGCGCTGCGAACACCAAGCCAAATATCGGGGGTTACCCTGCCCTGCAGGGGCCAGACCCTGACGCCCCAGCGGCCACGACGTTTGACGACAAGGAGCGCCTAATACTGCAGACCGCCTTCCCTAACGCCCCTGGAGATAAGCCCCCTGACCGCCCTCCTGGCGGCAGCGCGCACAAGCTTATAACGCCGAAGCGGGTGCATGAGGCCCTATTCAGCCAAAGCATTAAAAAGGCCCCCGGAGTCGATAGGCTCAACTTCAAAGCATGGCGCCTAGTTTGGAGGTTCGACCCTGAGCGCTTAGTGGCCCTGGCGAGGCAGTGCCTCCGCTTGGGGGTGCACCCTGACGTTTGGAAGGTCGCAAAACGCGTTATATTGAAGAAGCCGGGCAAGCCTAATTACGCTCTAGTGAAGGCCTGGAGGGTCATTAGCTTACTAAGCTGCCTCGGCAGGGTAACGTAATCCACCACCCACCCGCCCACTTCCGCCCGAAAATGCAATCTATATTGATTTTAAATCTCAATTTCTATCCAAAAATAATAATTATATACAAAGAATTAATTACCAGTATGATTAGGGCATTGAGGCCTTCTATGCCCGAGAGTATTACACTCACTACACTGAAATTGGCGGCGTACGAGTGCTTGCGAGGCTGGTAACTCAGGCTCAGCCGGAGCAGTAATATCAGTTTGAGATGCCTCAAGCTGACTTTATACAAGCGCCTGAGCTTCCTCTCTAGTAATTCCTTATCTATAAGATATCTGCTTTTTAGATCATTTACATTTTTGCTTTTCTTTCTCATGTATAGCCTGTAAATCATAAACTTCCTTTCATATAATTAGAAACTCATTAACACTCATCTTATAAGCCTTTGACATCCATATAATCATCTCATCAATAACTTCAAAAGGACTCCTTATACGCCAGCTTATTCATCTTTTAATTATAATTAATTGACGCTTAAATTAATATAGATTTTAAGATATTTGTAAGCAAGATAATTAAGTATTACTTAATTAACTTAGAGAAAATGTAGAAATTCTAAGTTAAATAGTAAACTTTTAATAGACTTAATCTAGATTAAATAATAATAATCCAGTTACTATAAAGCTATTCTAAATAATCTTAGCTTTATATACTATCATATAAGCCTTAGGAAATACAGTAAGAAAATTAATTTTATTAATATGATTGAATCTAAGTTTTATTTACTATTTAATAAGCTGTCTATATTATCATTTTAATACTGTAAAATAGCTAACATTAAGAGGCTATAAAAGATAAGAAGAGTGCGGTGTTACGGTGCTAGCCTGTCTGTCCAACCCGCCGACCTACTCCCCTGGTCTAACTGAATGTAACCATAGTTGCATTTTAGTGCAACTCCAATAAAAGCTATCTAGCTGCAAGAATCCTGTTATAGCTCTTTAAGCTATGTCTTATTCTTAATTCTAAATTTAACTCTATCTATCTGTCTGTCTATCTAATCTAATCAGTCAATCATTAATCTTTAATTCTATCTATCTGTTATACTCTGACATTACGTAGTTCTAGCTATTATGGATTAATCTAAAATATCTATTATTTTATAATCTCTATTCCTATTATAGAATCTAGAAGAATTCTTTATTTATATATTAGAATATTTAATTAAATAATTTAATTATTATTAATAAATCTATAAATATATTAATAATATTATTATTAAATAATAAAAGAAACTATATTAAACTAAACTTAAGTTTAAGGTTATATAACTTAAAAATTAATATTTTAATAAATTTCTAATCTATAAAAAAGAGATATCTATCTATAAATAAATAATTTATAACTATTAAAAAGAATAATTATAGAAAATTTAATAATAATATCTATAAATAATAAAGAATAAAGATTTAATATTATAAAAAAAAGAATAAATTTTAATCTTATTTATTTTAATTATTAATATCTTTATATCTATTCTAAACTCTATCTTATTAAACTTTATTAAAGACTTTAAAGCTATTACTATAAAAATATCTATATTAATTAATCTTCTATCTATTATTTTCATTAAATCTTTTAAATACCTATTTAACTCTGATAAATTTAAAAAAGAATAGAAAGACCTTTATTAATTTATATTATAAATTAAAGAAAAGATAGTAGTTAATCTTAATTAATATCTAATTTTATAAGTTTAAATAGTCTATATTATAAACTATTTATTTAAGACTTTATATATCTAAATTTTATTTTATATCTAAAATAGAATCTATTAATTATTTAATTATTAAGATATTTTATATATTTTTAAATATTTATGTAAAGATCTAAATTTAATTTATACTGTTTATAAAGAATTATTCTATTTTTACTAAATAAATAAAAAATTTATTATATTCTTTATTAAATTTTAGATTTTAATATTAGATACTAAGATATAAAAAGATTTATTAATTATTCTATTAAAATAAATTATTAATTATAAACTTAAAAATATATTATTTTATAATCTTTTATCATTCTATAAATATTATTAATTTATTATCTTTCTATAAGAATTAAAAAATTACTAAACTTAATATAAAAATAATTTATATATTTAGAATTATTAGATCTTTTTTTAATCTATTTTAGTTTACTCTACTCTTATTATTTTATTAATTACTTAAGAAGTTACTCTAGAAGTTAGAGTATAAAATAAAACTATAAAAAAAAAATTTATCTTAGTTCTAAAATCTATAAATCTATTTAAAATCTTCAATCAATAGATATATAATGAATATTTCTATTATAATACTAAAAATTATCTAATTAGAAGCTATTTTCTACCTAATAATCATTCTATCTATTTATAGAGCATCTATATCAACTTTTTAACTGAATTAAAAGATTCTTAATCTTTATTTCATTTAATCTTATTTAATAAGTTAATAAATAATATATATCTAATTTAAATTATAATTAGATATTTTATATATATATAATTAAGATCTTTATTACTATCTTAAATAGAATCTCTATTAAAAAAGAAATTTAATATTCTTAATTAATAATTTTATTTATTATATTATATTAAAAGAAAAAGAATATTTTAATTTATATAATAATAGACTCTAATACTAAAAAAAAGTGTTTTATAGATAAGAAATAGATTTTTAACTATGATTTATAATTATTATTTCTAAAATAATCTATTTAATTAAAGATATTTAATAGCTAGAAAGCTAAGATTAATTTAATTATCTATTATATTAATATATATTTAAAAGTCTATAATTACTTTAAATAGAAAGTATTATTCTTAATTATTTAATTTATCTATTATCTAATCATTCTAAGACTATTCTAACTGAAGAAATATAATCTTTAAATAAGATAAGCTATTTATAATCTAGATTTTAATAATAACTACTACTAGAAATATTATAATATTTCTATCTATCTAATTTATATTAGAATATTATATAATATATTAAAAAAGATTTATTTAAATTAGATATTTAATTACTTTAAAGCTTTTAAGAAATAAGATATTATTATTATAAGTTTAAGAGTCTATATTATTTATTATTAAAGAAGATATAGAATCTTTTTTTTAATTTTAAATTAGATTGATATTATTTTAAGCTAGATTAATTTTATTTTAGATTATCTATTAAAAATTATAAATTTAATCATTAAATTATCTAAAGAATTCTAAGATTATCTAGATATTTTCTCTTTTAAAGAAACTAAATATTTATTATTTTATCATCTTTATAATTATAATATTTAGCTAATTAAAAAGATTAATCTATTATTTAGCTTTTTATATTCTATATTCTAAGAGAAACTTATTATTTTAAAAAAATAGATTATAAAGAATCTAAAAAAAGAATTTATTTATTTTAATTTATTTTCTACTATATTCTCTATCTTATTTATTAAAAAGCTTAGAAGAGATTTATATTTCTATATAGATTACTAAGCTCTAAATATAATAATAATAAAGAATTATTATCTATTATCTCTAATTAAAGAGATATTAAATAATCTCAATAAAATAGAAGACCGCTGGATCAAAACTCGGGCCAATGAGACCTGGAACACGGCATGGACCGATAGTAACCATAGAGCGGAGCTACACCAATAGCTCCCAGCCCTATCCAAATCATCTAAAGAAATCTATATCAAGATAACTCGGACTGAAAGCACAGCCATGATTCAATTATATATGAAAAAAATTGCGTTCAATAAATATCTAGCGTATATTGATATAGTAAACTACAATTAATGCCATCTCTATAACATAACTGTAATATAAACCATTAAATATGTGCTCCTCGACTGCACAGCCCTCAATAACTTATGATATTCAATATAGCAGAGCAATAAATCAGAATATAGCTTTTCCAGTAATATAAAAACCCTTCTATATAACCAAAAGTATATGCGTAAGACAGCTTAGTTTATTCTTAAGTTAAGGCTCATCTCCTATCTTATAGACAAGCTGAGGCTGTCTTTATAATCTATATCTACTGAATCTACATCTAATAGATATACAATATAGGCTATCGTGGATCAACTACTTTTCGTTTTATTTTCTATTTCTCAATCCCTTTCTTACCAAACATAGATCTAAGCAATGAAGAGACAAATACACAGTATAAGGCTACTTAGAATAGAACTGTATAATCTACCCTAAACATTATACTAACTCGGAATTAGAAGAAACATAATAAATTCTTATAATGGCGTGGAAACTACTAAACATCTAAGATCTAGTATATAAAGAATGAATAAGATAGAGAAAAAGAAAGAACTTATTATAAAGAGAGAGCTATATAGAGCTATATGGAATTATAATGGGAAAAGTATATAATATATACATAGCGCTAACTAGCAAAGTAAGAAATGAGATTGATTAAATATATAGAAATATCTTAACTAATTAGTGAATCTTTCTAAAAAAGATAGCTACACAGTCATAATATATAAAATAGATAGTTAGACCTCAGACACCCTACCATAGCACCAAAAGGAAGCCTCTAGCATCAGTGTAGGAATACAACAACAACAACAACAACAACAACAATCTCAATAAAATAAAATATTTTATAAAAATTAATATTATCTTTATATTTAATAAAATAAGAATATGAAAGAGCTAGAAATAGTTAATAGCTTTCTATATTAGATTTAATCTATTCAAATTACTAGTAATATTTTTTAATATAATAAAAGCCTTTACTATATTTTAATAATTTATTAATAATATATTAAAAGAATATCTAGATCTATTCTATATTATTTATTTAAATAATATCTTAATATATAATAGAATAAAAAAGAAATATATATAATATATCTATCTAATTTTAAAAAAATTAAGAAAAGCTAAACTTTATATTAAATTATTAAAATATAAATTTATTATCTCTAAGACTAAATTTTTAAAAATCATAATTAATTATAATGGCCTATAGATAGACTTTAAT